TACCTAATTAAAAATCCTCTTTTAAACTATTTCTTTTAAAATGAAACGGTGTGAGGCAACCACACACTTTAAAATTTCATCAATTTTTTTCTATAAGTCGTAACTAAATAAAAATCGTTTGAAAGTAAAGTAGTGTTAAATTTCAATCTAAACGAAGAGTTTGCAGAGTGATCTGTTTTGTATATCTAATTTCACGTCATATAAAGTAAAATAATTTTAATTAAACAGAATCATGTACAAAACATTATTTTTAAAAAACTTACCTAAACATCACCTCTTTTTAAATTTAAAATTTTGAATAATTGAGAATATTTATCAGTTCGCAATATCTAGAAATAGGCTATCGAAGAGAAGGCTGCTTTCACTTTTTAGTACTGCATGAATAAAATAATAATAAACTGAAAATAAAACTAATTCATAAAAAAATAAATAAAAGTTGCATTAGAAAATAATGGCATTAATTATAATCAATGAAAAAGATGAAGTCATAATAATTTAATTGCATATGAGAATTGAATTAAAATTTAGATACTCATTGTAGCATTTCAGAACTTTCCTCGCTTTTTCTTTCAGAATTAAAGGTAGTTCAACCTCAACTTTACCTAATTATTACTATAATCGTTGCTTTATTACTTTATTTCAGATTTCAACTATCCATTTTGTGAACTTTGGGTATGACAGTGATGTAAGAAGTAGGTACTTTGAAAAATGATCGTGGTGTGAGTTCGCATATCCAGATTCTCACGTAAATACTTCATACATTTCTAATTAAATGGGTAAGGTCAATATTATTCATATGGACAAAAGTGATATTTAAGATTAATACGAATTATAAAAATCAATGGGTATAGTAACAGGCAACGAAGATTTTTATTATTTTTCTGTTTGTGACCCAAAAAGAAGGTAAGCTGTATTTAGAAATAAGGAAACCCAAGGATGTTTTCACAAAATTTATTGTCTCGAAAATATTGTTCAGACCAATACAGTCATTATCAAGAGTACCGGTCAAAACAATAATGTCAAGACAATAAATTTTATGAAAGCAAAAAACTGTTGGGCCCCGTCGAAATCCTCTCGTCCTGCACATAGATATTTTGGGAAACACTGGCTTATTAATAAAGTAATAACTATATATTGTCAGAAAAGTAATAATACATACATATTTAAAAAAAAGTACTAAGGCAACAGTTCAAACATACTAAAAGAAATAATCTTCACAAAACTTCAATTACCTACCTTTCTGCATCAAACCTCTTTAAAACGGTACTTTGAATATACATAAATTCGAAGTGCTAAAATAAGAGAAAGGGAAATTCGTATAAGTATACCATAAATTATTCAATTACTTCAATTTTCAATTACCCCATCTCATCCTAATAAGGACTAATTGTGTCTAATTTAATTATAAAAATTTGTAGAGCATAAGATGTGAGCAAATTGTAAAAACCCCTCTCGAGGGGCATATAATGAAAATACATTTCTTCGAAAATTACTATTGTTTAAAACCTTTTAAAAAAAAAATTCTACACTTATATCAAAATAGAAACATACATCCTAATGAATTTCTGTATATAACAGCAATATTTACCCACTTAATAAGTTGAAAGCTTTGCAATAAAACAACACGTTAAAATTTAAAGCTTAAAATCTCTCATTTAGTAAAGCCACACCTTAAATTTCACTGATTGTGGTATATAATACAATACATATATCCCATTGCCTATATAATGTCCTAAATCCAAATTTATACCATTACAAATTAAATCGTAATTTCTACACATTTTAAAATACATATTTTTAGAAAAAACAGATAGCTTACCTTTTAATTTTCCTTTAGAAAACACACCTGCAAAACTGCAGAACAGTGACTAATAAAATAAAGAGAATGTATATTTTATCAACTTTATGCCCTTCTAAAGGTCGTACACAAGTTGCGTCATTTCATATTTGAACATTTTGGCGGCAAACAAATAGTGTCTAAAGTACCATAGTATTGTTTTCAATTGTGTTTAAATATTTGTTAGATGAACCAATGTATCAGGTGAGCATTATTTATATCAAATTTAACAAATATCTATAAACTATAATAGTTTTTTAATTCTTCCAGTTTAAATACAGTACTATGTTACAGGTATTGTATATCCACACATACGACTTACCTTATGAACACTTCCCACAGAAATTTAAGAAATTAAAATATAAAAGGATGTGCCCATATTTAATTACAAATTATTCAAAAATGTTTATTTTTTCTTCTAAGTACATGAGTTACTTTGAAACTTAAACGAGTTAACAAATTGATTTCGTCAATGCGATTTCAAAGTTTGTACCAAAAAAATAGTAGATTAAAATTAATGCAAAATATATACAAAGAACGATGGAATTGTTTTGACTAACCTTTAAAAATAAGAATTACTTAATGATCTTTAACACGTATGCATTTATGAAAAAAATGAGATTCTTTTAATTCATCTAAACTTAATGTACTTGTTGCGTCTTAACCAATTGTTAAAACGCTGTATTAAAATACATATTGTAGTTCGACTTAATTTTTATTTTTTGTGCAAGTACAAAGTTTTTTCCTTTATTTTTTTT